GACATTTTGCACAAAAAAAGTGACATTTTTGCTCACTAAAAGTGAAAGTGACAATTTTGTTTTTGGATTTTCAAATTTAGTGATTGAAAATTTCCCTAATTTATATTCTGCTATAGTTATAATAATCTTTTCAGCTATTTACATACTTCAAATACCTATTTATATATATATATACATATAGAATTTGTGAAAGGCCCTTTTTCTGTGTCTTATGGTGGCCAATTTTGTCAAAAAATAAACGCTCTCATACCATTTGTTTGGAAATTGTTTAGACCCAAATATGTGGAATTAATCTATAGCAAGAAACTAGTCGCTTAATTATTATTTTTAGATGATTAAGTTTAAAATCAATTTTAAACTATTACAAATATCATATCAAACAAATGAAATAATTATCACTAGATATGATCATGGAGAAAAACCCTTGAAGAACTTTTCACAAGAATTGAAAACCTCCTGGCAAATTTGCCAGTAAAATCTACTAGAAAAGTTAACTTACAATTAGTCCAGAACTACTAAATTTTAGATGACTCTGGCCACCTAATTTGTAAACCACTAAGGAAGTACTTTAGTTTTGTGACCCGTACTTTCCAACAACTCTAGGCTAAGTTTTGTGACACGTAATCAAGATAGCTGATCTTACCGTATTCATGCACGTAATTCACATTTTGCTTAAAAGAATCCTACAATGATTCAGCCGAATTGTGAAATCAGTGGAGTTCTCACCCTTGAAAGGGAAAAATTTACACAAGTCCAATCAGAACAAATATGGTTATCACAATACACATCCGTACATACTCAGTACAAAATTTTGTCCATACATCCATTTAATGCAATTTTTGAAAACCCTACTCATTGCATTCACCACAAACATCGAACTCACAAAATCAAGAAATGCAATGGATTTTAGTGCTTTTTCATAACGATCCCAGTATTCAAGTACATGGGTATCTCACAAACAAAATGTTTAGTACAATTTTACTCTAACTATAATTCGCAAATACAACACATGCAAAAAAGTACCAT